AAGGAAATGAAATTGGGTAGGATCACAGGAGATTTTGAGAGGCCATGAGAAAAGGATGAGAGTAGGGGCAGTGGTGGTTGAAAAAGTGAGTAGAAGAGCACAAAACAAATTTTCAGACTTCACAGTTTTCATGGAGCTGGGTCCACAGTCAACAGATAGTAAAGGAAGAGAAGAGAGTTGAGGAACTTGACTGTATGTCTGATTATTACTGACCTTCAAGATACATAGATACACACACACACTACCAATACATACATACGCATATATTTATTTACAAAAATATGATAATCTTTACATGTATCCGAGATAAAAGAATGTGTGGATATCAGCAAGTAATGATGTAACTATCTTTTCTGTATGTGGTGCCCCATATATTGTCTGATAAAGTTGTATTATTATTACGGGTCCTTGAACACACGATTGAGCAGACCTGTCTTCACTGGTCCCAGTAGCTTGAGATAGCTAGATCTGCTGTGCAGATCTGTCACTGGAGAGCAAGAGAGCAAAATGCCAGTGAAGGTGATGCAAAAAGGAAGTCCTGGGGCTCCAAAACATCAGGTACCATAGCCCACTTGACATGGAGCTATGTAATGCCATCCTAAATATTTACTGCTTTGAACATTGTATTTGGGCAAAACACAAAGGATAAAAATAGGAAGGGTCTTGACCTTTCAGAACTTTAAAATATTAATAGTAATCAAATAATCTCATAAAAGAATGGAATTTAATTATAAACCAAACAAGTGCTTTGAAGAAAAAGGAACATGACTTACAGGAGAATATAACAAAGATACCTGACATACGTACATAGAGACATGGAGGGGAAAGATGGACAAGAAATCCTTTTTTGAAAAAGAAAGTGTTGAGCAGAGATCTGCTGGGTGTGCAGCAATAGTTTCTCTATGTGAGCAGGGAGAGAAAAAGATATGTATGTGGAGATAGGATGAGAGAGAGAGTGAGAGCCAGGAACCAGGAACAAAATGACAGGAGGAAACAAGGTGCATGCTAAGAAATGAGAAATTTTAAGAGCGGCAGCTATACATAGAGGAGAAAAAGAGAGTCATTCAAAATGAAAGAGTAGGCAGGTAGCCAACTGTATAGTGCGTTAGCCCAGTTCAGGATTCCTTTTTTATCCTAAGGGGAACAAGAAGTTGATAAAGTATTTTAAGCAGATATGTTTTAATAAAATTTGTGCTAAGTGTAGTCTGTAGAATGGATTGGAGAGGAATAAACATGACCAATTAAGAATCTGTTGCAGGAAACCAAATACAAATGATGTGCTATATGATGGTTGACATGCTGTTCTTGGGAAGAGGACCCAGTGTAAAGAGAAATATATTTTGGTTTTAGATATGTTGAGTTTGAGGGTCCTTAAAATACCAAAGAAAGAATGTTAAGCGGCAGCGCAATATCCAGATTTGGAGCTCAGTGAATATGTCTGGAATGGCTGGAGCCACTTAACACTTCTTGATCCATTTGTAAGAAGAAAATGGCATACTGAGAGTAGGAGCTCCTCTGAGCCAGACCAACTTTGCCTTCTAACTATGCAGAGACCTTAATTAATGTGTCTATTGAATTCTGGTTTGCTTTTCTCAACTTTATCACTTGCAAGCCTAAATTTTATTGTATGGCACATATAATGACCATCCTAAGTGATTTCTCTTTTACTATAAAGGTAGAATTTAAAATTAAATTTACAGATTTTTCACAGTGTTGTTGACTGAAAAGAAAACAATTAGCTTCCACAGACAGATTCATAGAAAAATGCCCAGTTATTTTGACCATTCATTCAGTAAAATATTTATTGGATGTCTACTATGGGCAAGACTGTTTTCCAGGTACTAGAGATACACCAGTAAACGAAACAGGAGAAAAAAAAAAAAAAACCTACTCTCACAGTAGTAAGCTGTTGGTATATGATACAATATATACATTAAGCAACATGAATAAAGCTAATATATAGCATAGTGTGTTAGATAATGTTAAATATAAAAAATAAAGCATCAAGTAGGGAAGGGAGTTAGGAAATGCATATGTGTTGAAAAGCCTCAAATTTTGAAAAGAGTGTCCAAGGAAGACCTCAGAAGCTGTATTTGGAAAAACATCGTGAAGAACTATGAGGATATCTGAGAGAACAACATTCCAGACATAGAAGACAAATAGCAAAATGGCAGATATAAATTCTACCTTATAGTCAGTACACCAAATTCAAATGGATGAAATTCTTCAACTAAAGGGCAGAATTTGATAGATGAATATAAAAATGATTCAGACATATGCTATCTACAAAATACAGCATTATTTGAATAGCCAAAAAATGGAAACAACCCAAATTTCCATTGATAGATGAATAGATAAACAAAATGTGGCTTATCCATACAAGGGAGTTCATTCATCCATACAAAGTAATAAAATGCTGACACACACTATGCTATGAATAAATCTTGAAAATATCATGCTAACTGAAAGAAACCAGACACAAAAGGCTGCATGTTGTATGATCATATTATATGAAATATTTAGAGTGGGGAAACTCATAGAAAGAGAATGTAGATTAGGGGTTGGCAGGAGTTGGATGGAGGAGTAATTGGGAGTGACTGTTTATGGCAGAGGATTTTATATTCCAGCCAGGGGTGGGGTGTAATGAAAATGTTCCAGAAATAGATAATGTTGATGACTGCACAATCTTGTGCAATATACTAGGAATCACTGAATCATACACTTTAAAATGGTGAATTTTATAGTATGCAAATTATGTTTTGAAACAAATAATTACCATAGTTCAAGAAAGCAAATGACATAGCAGATTGGAAAATGGACTAAATAGAAATTCTAGAATTGGAAAAAAAATCATGAGAATTAAAACTATTGGGTAGTGAATAAATAACAGAATACAGACAGCTGAAAAGACAATTTGCATAGCGGAAGACAATGTAGAAAAAAATATCCACCATGAATGACAGAGAGAAAAATGATGGAATACGGGAAGATAGGATAAAAACATAAAGGATAGAGTTAAAAGTTCTGACACAAATTTATTTGGAGTTGCAGAAAGAGAAGAGAAAGAGAGAGAAAAAAGAAAAATAGTGGAAGCAATAGTTGAAGAGATTATGCCTAAACATTTTCCATAACTGAAACATATTCAAGCCATAGATTCATGACATCCAAACAAACTCCAAGCAAAGTAACAAAAACCCATCCAGATAAATAATGAAACTGCTTAAAAACCAAAGATATGAAGAAAAAAAATCTCAAGAACAGATCGTGAACAATATCAGATTACTATCAAAAGGGCAACTATTTGACTCAGGAGCATATTGCAGGAAATGTACGAAGTAAAGATCTTAAGACAGAACGAAAAGACAGATTATAAGTAAAACTGACTGAGAATGTCAACATTTAACATTTAGGGAATCTAGAAGAGAGTGAATTATGTCTTGAGGAATGTAAACGAATTATAACTGTTGATACAAGTTGTATTCCCAGGTACATTTTCTTTGAGAATAAAGTTGAAACAGACATTTCCAGAAAACCCTGAACTTATATTTTATTACCAATAGGCCTTAAGTAAAGAAATTTCTAAAGAGGAATGAGTATCTGAGATGTAGGATGAAATTATGTTCAAAGAAATTGTTAAACTTGTGGACAAATTTAAATTAGCATTGATTGTTTAAAACAATAATAGCAATGACTAATTGTGTGGTTAAAAGAAATAGATACATCTCCATCAGAGCTAAGGTACATCTCCATCAGAGCTCTTACAAAAGAAAAAAAAAAAAAAGAAATAGAAAAAAGAACCAAAATAATAATATATAAGGCTGAAGGAGTGGGTGATTATAATTAAATACCTCCAAGAAGTCCTTCATTGTTTTGGAATAAGAGAGTGATATTAAATATTGTTAGATTTTAGGTAAAGAATGCATGTCAAAAATTTAAGTCAATAAAAAAAATAGAACTAGGATGTTTAATTTCCAAAGCAGCGGAGGGATAAAACTGAGCAAAAAATAATCAGTAAGACTAAGAAATGTATAATGTACATTAAGTTATAATGTACTTAAAGCTACAGATGAAGCCAGTAATATGTTCCTCTTTCATACTCAAAATCTGGTCTTCATTTTAATAACTCTAATCATTAATACATGGTGTTTTACAGTATATAATTTTTGAGCTTTTAAACTAATTTTACAATAGCATCCACACTGCCAGCTTCTCTTTGATCCTAATAATTGAATGAAAAATATTTGAATGATTATTGATATGAATTTAACTGATTTCTATTTGTAGAACTTGATAATATTGATGAATAAATAGCATTAATTAATTGTTTACAAAGTTTTTCTTCTGCAAATAGTGGATGCATTAAAAGCTATTGATTCACTTTCATATGTTCACAGGCAATCTTGGAACTGAAAATGAATATATTTAGTTTTAAAAAAACAGTCTTTTGATGTATATGAAAGTCATGCTTCATAGGCTATTATGTGAACACATTTTCTGCAACTGCATATACTAAATTGTTTTCTTCTGGCAGTCTTAAGATAATTAATTTTTGAGGTTGATCATGATGTTTCTTTGGCAGATTTGTATCTTCTGGGTTTCTTGTGTTAGTGATACAATACAAATCTCATGATGAGTAGGAAATGTCAAATATTTTGTGCAAAATACTTTTGTCACTTGCTTTCTTGGAAAATAAAAAATGCAGTATTTTATTTCACTTTCATTTTTAGCTTATTGCTACCAACATTTATTTCAAAATTTCAAAAATTGGGAAACAATAAATAAATATCATAGAGTTGCATGACATAATAATGACACTATCACTACATCAAGAGAACAGACTACTTACTCTCTATTCCTTCTCTAAAAGGACAGCTTTGGTTCTATTTCCTACACGTCTATGATATTCGTAACCTATAACTTTTCATGTTTTCCCCTGGGCCCTCTCACCCCATCCATTACAGAGAGGGTTTTCCATGCAGGACAGGTGGAGATTCGCTTACCTCACACACGAGGGCAGAGCTCCACATGGACTGCTCCATCCCAACACCACTGAGACCAGAAGTTGATGGCAGCCCCTTGCCACTGATATCCCCAGAACATATGAGCACCCTGCATGCCAACCCTGTAAGGGAAATGTTAGGTTTCTTAAGTCTGAGGATTGGGGGAAAAGAGAAAAGGTTATGTTAGTTGTCTTTAAATTTAAATTAGGTTTCAGGCTGAAACTTTAAGTCCCATCATTCTCACATTCTCCTAAATGAGACCATGGCAGAAAAGACCAAACCCACCAAAGTGAAATTTGTTAATCGCCTTTAGGTTAGACCTGAAACTAGCGCAGTGCCATTTCTGTAAAACTCCATTGGGTCACAGAAGTGAAGGCTGGCCCAGGCTCACAGGGAAGGGACAACATGTTCAGTGTTAATGGGAAAAATGCCCAAGAATCTGTAGCCGTCTTTATCAACTGTTCATCCTTACTCAAAGTTGGCAAGACTCATTTACACAGTGAGTTTCATCACAGTGTTTATCTCTTACCTATTAGTCAATTAGGCAAGTAACTATTAGCACCACCCACGTGCAAAACACTAGCACTGTGCTAATTGCTATAGGGTAAAAAATATGAACCAAAAGCCCCAACTCCTCAAGAGCCAAGAATCTATTGAGAAGTTGATCATGCTTAAATAAGCACCAAAAAGAAAGGACTGGTATTCTCAGGGAGGCTTACCATTCAGTGGCTATTCAAGAGTACGTGCAGATATGCTGTGATCACAGGGCACAGATTATTAGAACAATTTAAGATTCAGACATAAGTATCAAACCTACTGAACATTTCATTTCCTTCATTGCTAATATTCCAAGACATTCAGCTGTGGTAACATTATTTAATAATTGAACATCCAATTTTGGAACTAGTTAATGTTTTTATTTTAAAACATTTTATTTATTCTTAAAACTAAAGTCTTCTATGACTTTAGATGGAAGAAGATATAACTTGTAAAATGTGGCATTAATAAAGATGGACTTACAGATGTGAAAGAACAAATGATTTGTCTTAAGAGATAAAGCCACTTGTGTGCCAGACACATGGCGTTTTAGAGGTTTCTCACACAGTCCACTGCACACACACACGCACATGTATGTGCGCACATACACACAGAGAAAACTGTAGGTGTTCCCACTGAGACTTTGGCTTGTGATTATCCTTATATGCAAAAAATGACAGACCTCAAAAATAAGTGGTGGAAAAAGCACATGTTATCTGTACTGAAAAACAACTGGTGTACTCTATGTAGTTAACAGCCCCAGAGAAAGAAATCTCTGAAAAAGCATTAACTTTAAATATGTAAAGAGTTATGACATCCTCTGCCCCAAGAAATGCAGCTAAAATCTGAAACAGTGTAGGATGGGACTAGAAGAAAAAGGAAAAGGGATACTACTAAATGAATCATACTTCAGGTAAGTTAAGGTTGAAAGCCAGCATCTCAAATGTTAGCAAAAGGTGAACTGGCAATTCATTCTGGAATTTCTAATAATAGTACCACCAGAATAATAGCACCACCAGAATAATAGTACCACCAGAATAATAGCACCACCAGAATAATAGTACCACCAGAATAATAGCACCACCAGAAGTCCTCTCTGATAACATTCTCAAAGGTCATCCATGCTGACTGACTTGAAAGAATACTAAGTGAATGTGTTATGTAACTGTATGTACTATACTTGAGTGGATAGGACAGGGTAGAACTCAGCATCCAATACACTTAACATCAGAACTTGGGTTCAAAATATGTGTACATCAGGTAGGTGTGAGTGGAGACGGGGTGGACACAGAGAGGTGTCTTAGGTAGGGTTGCCTGGAAAAGAACTCAGAAATGAAAATGCGTGTGTGCAGGAATTTAATTAGGTGTGGGTGGGAGTGCTGCTCCTCTCCTCCCACCTGTAAGGAAGTGGGGAGAGCAGGATTGGGCAGACAGGGAAGTGGAATTGAGAGGCTATTGCGGCAGAGTTCTCAGTCGAGCCAAAGGACAAGTTAGAGGTGGGGTGGTCCTTCAGAGCTGTCCCACAAAGGGGCCAGGTTTTGAAAAGTAATAACATGTTTTTTATTTTGGAGGGGATGTTTCGATATGCCTCATACTATCGGGCTCCTAAAATCTTAACTTAGATGTAGTGTACCCTCGAATTTTTGTATGGTTTATTTCCCACTTTATACAGTATGTCTAGAGTCCTCCAATGTACATGCTACTCCTTGAAATGGAATATTTAAAAAAATGTAGAGAGCACTAGCTGTCTTCTATAAAGGGTCCCTAGGAGTCACTCAACACTTTTGCTTCCTTCTCATGGGCTAGAACGTAGTCATATGGACACATCTACAAGGCTGAGACATGCACTCTTCATTCTAGGAAACCAAACGTGCAGGTGGAGACGGGACCGTCGTTACTTTCGGCAGATAAGGTAGAGGGTAGATACAGGAGGACACCTGCCATCTCTGCCATCAACATTGAATCCACCTAAACGTGAACCCATGCTTCAACAGCTGGGTTGTTACCGTCATTGAACGAAAGGTAAATGTACTACATTTTGACAACATGAAACTGCTGTCTAGTAGATGAGGTGAGACAGGTCTGTGAGACTCGCCCAGCAGCGACCATGGTAAGATGAAAGTGACAGATCTGGGGTCAGGTGTGAGCAGGGCACGAGGCCCCGTGTGGAGGGCAGCCTCAACTGCATGTCGTGCTGTATCCGTGGAGCTAAGGGTGAAAAATGTGACCCTAAAGGAAGGACTCTGCAAGACATGTCAAGTAAACAAGGAGTCCTGCAGGCCTTTGACCTCATTATCGCCTCCACCCCTGGTGGGCTGAAGAAACCAGAACTTTTTAGTTTTGTGAACTGACTTTTCTTTCAAATGGAGACAAAGGTTAAACTTGTGACTCAGTGTTGCAGTAATGCGGTCTCTCAAAGACTTTTGCTCTCAAGACAAATTTGTCACAGTGACACATCACTGGTGATATTCCATGTTCTTTAACTCTCCAGGAGACAAGGGAGTTATTCTTTAGGACAGATTAAATCACCTGCTTAGACAGCTTCCCCACAGGATTTTGATTCTCCCAAGCACGGCACTAATAATTATCCAGGCAGCCAGTCTGTTGAAGTCACTTACAGCTGGAAAGCACAAAAGTCACAGACTGGGGAAGAATGAAAATTACCCTTGTGTAGGCTGTCTAACACATGTAGAAACAAATGGATTGAAAGATAACACCTGCCTAAGTACATAAAGATGTTGATTTGGGGATTGCAGAATACTGAGATTAATCTCAAAGTTATGTATTGTGCATTGTGAAAAAAATTAGATATTGTGAAGTGATTTTAAAATGCAATTAATTATTTTTTTAGTCATGCTGGTAAAGTCTCATGCTTTAAATTTCATTTTTTCAGTTGCTTTATATAATGCTAACTAAATTCAAAGTTATCCATCTCAAAGACCAGTCATTAACCACTTCGGTGGGAGCGTGGGCTGTAGCCGACGGCCACAGAGGGGCGCGCACAGCGACCGTAGCCGGCAGCCGTGATGTGACTTTTCTAATTTTTCATTTATCAAAATAAAATTGTGAACGTTTAAAAATAACGCAATGAAAACATATATGTGTGTGTTACCTGTTCTGACTTACATGACAAGGAAAGCTGCCTGCGGAGTGAAACGAGTTCTCAGTGCTTCCAGCTGTCGTCGTAACACGAGAGCAAACGCCGCGGGCCGTGCGCAGCGCAGACTCCGTGCGCGCCGTGCGTGCCGGGTGGGCGGGGCGTCGCGCCGTGCGTGCCGGGTGGGCGGGGCGTCGCGCCGTGCGTGCCGGGTGGGCGGGGCGTCGCGCCGGAAGCGCCGCACTGAAGGGGGTTAATATGAAGCTTGCTTTTCTCCTCCAATGCACACATTTAGTCAACTCAAAAAACTTGCGTTGTATTACCGTAGTCACTAACATAGCCATTCTATAACATTTTCCAGTTCGCCAGGAGGTGGCAGCAAGTGCAGGGCGCTTATTCACAGTCTCGTGTGAGTGTGTAGTTGCTTTCGTTCTTGGACACATAAAGGATGACTCAAAGGCTAAACTTCTGCCTTCTAGGATGTAAGCAGTTTACATTATTGCTTATTTTGTTGCTCGTGCTTTTAAGTTCAAGACTGAAATATAATTTTCACCTCATATCAGATCTAAATTTGTTCTTTTATAAATTAAGCTACCTGGTGAACAAAACAATTTAGTTTTAGGCCAGTGGGAGAAAACATCCTTAGTCATAAATCTTATTTGATATTTCTTCTACTTTACTGACTCCCAAGAGAAATGATTTCAAATTGCTATTTGCTCTAAGTTCTTCTCCCAAGTCCACACTGCTCTGTCCTTTCCATAGGTCTCTGATCCACTCATTTCAACGACGCCTTCCATGATTACTCTGTAAAAAATAATTACACCCCTTTGTACCTCTGATAATTTCCCCCCTGATTCTGATTTATTATTGGTAATGTACCCTACTTGTTTATTCGTCTGTCGTTGTTTGCCTCTAATAATATGTAAGTGCCCCCGCAAGACAGGACTGTGTCATGTTCCTGCACTAGGTAGGTGTTCGCTAAACATGTGTTGAGTATTTTGCCATGAAGGCAGGAACAAATAATTATAGCAAGGTTCTGGGTGTATTTAAACAGGACAAATGTAAATGCAAGACCCCTAACCTAATAATGGAAAGGTAGAAGCTCACATTCCTGTTCTGCCCCACTAGTGAGGGCCCTGATGCTGTTACTAAAGTTTGCCAATATGCAAGGGCGTGGAGACAACCCAAGTGCCCGTCAATTCAAGAGCAGATGATTAAAATTTGGTATATGTACACAATGGAATATTACTCAATTATAAGAAATGACAGTGATCTAGCACCCCTTATATTTTCCTGGATTGAGCTTAAACCCATTATCCGAAGTGAGGTATTGCAAGATCAGAAGAATGGGCTCCACATGTACTGACCATCAAACTGGCACTGACTGATCAACACTATGGTGCTCACACGGTAGTAATATTCTCCAGGGATTGGGGGGTTGGGTGGGCTAAACTCACAACTAAAGGACATGGTGAGCACTGTAGTGGGGAAGGGCACCTCGGTAGGGTGAAGCAAAGACATAAAATATAACCAAAATGTTTGTACCCACATAATACCCTGAAATAAAGAAAAAGTTTGTCAATACTAGTCAATATTTAGTCAATATTGAGACTAAAATCAGTTTTACTCATATCCCAACATAGATATGAAGCTCTGGTTAGAGAAATTAGGAAATTATGGACTAACAAAATTCTCTTTCTAATCTGTAATGAGCTGAGATCACGTGGAAGGAAGCTAGCCCCTTCCCTTCCGTAGCAGCCATGACATTCTAACCTCTAATCGACATTCCTAACCCCTCATCAAGGGCTCACAGAAACTTCCCAAGGACTCTCTTTTCTTTCCTAACCAAATATAACATTTCTTGCTTGAGGTTCTTCTGTAAGGTATTTTCTTGAGACTTACTGGGTTTTATTAGATATACTGGTGAAGCAGAGCAAATGTACAACACACAGAAAAAGAGATTAACACAGGGACGAACTCCTAACCCACATTTCTCTTCATCAAGAACTTATATAAATGTGATGGGAAAATATTTTAGGAAATTAATCCATATGTTATGTCCCACTTTATGATATCACCGCCTACCGACTCCAAACTTGGAAGTGCAAAGGCAGAATGCCAATTGTTTCGGAAGTAGTCTGCAGTAAAAGACAACCATGCCACATTTTTTTAGCTATTATGATCAAGGAACACCACCATCTATGAAATTAAAAAAAATTAATGAAGACATGGCATGGTTAGAAAGAACAAGCTTATATTTCTGTCCATAGGCTAGATAAAATAATTCTGAACTGGAACAGAAGAGAAAGAATTATTCATAGAGAATTTACTAGCCAAATCTCAAATAGAATATATCATCATTGAATTACATCACACTCTTCTCTCATTCTAACTCTTTAGCACTTCAAAGCATTCACAGATCATCTTTTCACTATTAAATGTCTTGACTAATGCAGAATCAATTAGATTCAAAGCGATTTGTAGATTAAGTGCACGAACATCCATGTCCTCTTGGATAACTCATTTTATGATAGTTTCAGTTTTCTTATATGGAAATTAAGTAGACTTATCCTTAGGCCAAACGTGTATATATCACTGTAAGAAAATATGCGTATATACTAGACTTATCTCCAATATTCTATGTTTTGTCATTTCTACTTCTGCTTCTTTATTCTTCATTAGTCTGTGATGTGCTGTAGATGCCGTGTTTCACCCATGCACGCTGTCATCTCCATCTTGGCGTGTCCAAATCCTGACCGCTTGTCTCCACTACTGTCACCTAGGTTCAAGATACTCTCAACCCCAGAGCAGATCAGCGCAATGGCTTCCTAACTGCTTCCCCAACTTTGTCCTTGTCCTATTAGTCTATTTTGAGTCCAACATCCCAAATGGCCTTGTTAAAATGCAAGTGTGATATTATCACTCTTCTGCCTCCAAATACCAATGGTTTCTCATGTCACTCAAAAAATGGTGAAAGCCCTAAAAGTGGCCTCAGTACCCTATGCCACATGTGCCTGCATCTTACTTCTCTGATCTCATGTCATATTAATTCCCCCACCGCCCCCCCGCCACACTTGGCCACGTCCCCGTCTCCTCTGTCTTGGTTCTTCTGTCTCACAGAGTGAGCTTGCAGCTCCGTAAGCACCCCCTCTGGCTGCTTTGACAGGATTTGCACCTGCCTGCATCGCCTGCGCTCTAGACACCTGCTCTGTCTAGATCCTCATCTTCTTCAGGTTGATGCCAAATTTTTACCTTTTCACAGAGGTAGGCCTTCTCTGACCACCATATTTGAAATATTAATCATGCCCAACACAACTATGCCCATTTTCTGCTTCCTTTTTCTATAAGCCCTGTCCATGCTAACATGTGAGGTATTTTGCTTGTTAATTTTGCTTATTGTCTTTCTTCCTGGACTAGAATATAATAAGCTCCATAAAGGTAAATTGTGACTTTTGCTTTCTTTATTAAAAAAATAATGTGCCGGGCGCTGTGGCTCACGCCTGTAATCCTAGCTCTTGGGAGGCCGAGGCGGGCGGATTGCTCAAGGTCAGGAGTTCAAAACCAGCCTGAGCAAGAGCGAGACCCCGTCTCTACTATAAATAGAAAGAAATTAATTGGCCAACTGATATATATATAAAAAAAAAATTAGCCGGGCATGGTGGCGCATGCCTGTAGTCCCAGCTACCCGGGAGGCTGAGGCAGAAGGATCACTTGAGCCCAGGAGTTTGAGGTTGCTGTGAGCTAGGCTGACGCCACGGCACTCACTCTAGCCTGGGCAACAAAGCGAGACTCTGTCTCAAAAAAAAAAAAAAAATAATGTAAATCTTATTCAAAGGAGTAAAAATCACTTACATATCATATTCATTCATCGTTACATCATTTCAGTGAGACTAGACAGGTATTGGCTTTTTCCATAGATATTGTATTTGATCTTCTTTATAATAATTAGAATAAAAAGAATATCCCCAGGAATGAGGATAAGTAAATATATTATAAAATGTGTGCTTTTGCTTAATATTAATGCTTGTATATGTATATGCATATTTATATACAAATATAAAAATGTTTACTTGCAAATATATTTAAGGGGCCTCAACAAGTAAAATCATAGCATGAGAAATATGCAGCAAAGTACAAAGAATACACTATAAAGAACAGACAAATAATATTGTCTGTGTTATTGTACCAGCCTCCTGACTTACATCCTTTCTGCCAGTTTCTACCTTTGCAATTAATTCTGCACATTTCTTCTAGACTAAGTTCTCTAATATGATCACTTTACTGTCCTGCTTAAACCACTTCAATGAAGTTTTGCTTTTCTATTAGCTTTTAGAAATATTTAAACATTTTAGGGAGACAGTTTTGCTTGCTTTTTTTAAATTTCAGAATATGACAGGGGCACACACATTTTGATGATGTGACTTGCTTTTGTGCAATTTGAGCCAAAGTTATATGTGTGCCCATCACCAAGAGAGCGTGCACTGTGCCCACCAGGTATGAATTTACACATCCCCTCCTCCACCTCCCACCTGCTTGGTTTCCCTTGAATTTTACTACTATATGTGCACATGGGTGTTGTGTTGGAACTAATTGATAAACACCCATGTGTACATATAGTAGTAAAATTCACTTTTGCTTTCTTAACAGACCACTTGTCATCATAAAAAAGATGCTGATACTCCTCTACTTCTCTCATGTTCAAAGGATATTCACAAATGAAACATTATACATCCCCATGTATAATGGCACTTATAACATTTTATTATAAATAATTATATATGTATATGTTTTCCTGACTAGTTGTGAGCTACTTGAGGCATTTTATCTTATTTCATTTCTATCTCTATCCCTATCATGTGTCTAAGGGTGACAGAGATTTCGTAAATGTTTTAACTAAGGAACCATATAAAAACACCTACATTCACAATACATGCCAGAATGGAGAAGTGATGCTAACAAACACATCAGAACTTATACATGTAAGGTTTGTTTTTTAATATTGAAAGAAATATCTCTTGGAAGCCAGAAATAGTCTCATAATTTGCCTTATTGTTTTTTTCTTTAATTCCTTCTTTGTTATTGCCTCAATGCCTGACCAATTAAAAAATATCGTCAATAATGTTAAATCATCCTTTCAACCTAAATTGGTTTTGGGGAAAATTCAATTTGAAGCTAAGTTTAGTGAATAAAGTGGGTTTATTTATTTGGAGTTCAAAAGGAATTGTGATAATAATGTAAGATTTATTTTCTCTTGTGTAACTTGTAAACTGGCTTTGATTATAAGTTTCAAAAAGACATTTTAATAATGATGACTGAGTAATAATAATCTTTCAAAGAAACCATGTGCCAAGAAACACCTATTTGGAAGTATGGAATCTATTATTGTTTTTTAAAAGTTAGTAGCAGTATTTTAGGCACATTTTAAAACGGTCTTATTTTTTTCCAAAAAGGCAAAGTGAAATAGCTATTAGATATCCTACAATATCAAGAGAAGACATACCAAAAATAATACACACTGGAAAAAGTAGTCTTGTCAAAACTTTACTGAGGTACTGGAGATGTGTCTTGAACACATATCCAAGTCATTTCCTGCTAGTACGCATTGCCTGATGTTGCCACAGATGAGAAATCAGTGATTATTGCATCTAGTATATTTCTTGAACTTAGGTAACGAAGAGACCCAACATAACTTTTGATTTTGCTTGTATTACTGTACTGAACTTGCTCTTTCAACACTCATTCATTTAACAGATAAAACACTTTGCTAGCTGGGAAACAGTAAGATCTTATATACAGTACCAATCATCACCTAAAAACCTAATTATAGAAAATTGATTAAACTTTGAAATAATAATTAACAAGATACAGAAGTATATAATTAGATGCTAAAAAAAGCAGACAAGAAAATAAGTGCTACAAGAATTCAGATACATAAGTGCTTAAGTAATATTGAGAGATTTTAAAAAGAAATTGGACTCTAAATAGCTGACAGTTTTGGAAGGTGATGGTGGCATGAAAAACATGAGTCAAGCCTTGAAGTTGAAATCTGCAGTCTACGGCAAGGAGCAGTATTAAAATTGATGACAGGAATGACTGAATAGTTGGGAGGGTGGTGTAGATCAGAGAGCAGGATGTAGCCAGGATGGGAGGGTTGGGCATTTTTGAGAAATGGAATGATCTAGAATTGGTGTTTAAAAAATATTAATATGGCTACAGAGTGGGAAATGGATTAAAGCCAAGAGAAATTATAAAAACAGAATTCCAGACAAGAGTTTATTGCTGAAATTATCAAATGCCTTTTTTGACTCAACCAGCTTTTATAGTCTCCACAATATGACTATGCATGGTTAGGCTTAGTTTCATCCTCAGTTGAAAAATAACGCAGATATTTCCCAGGTCTATATGAGATGTCCCCAGCACAGGCAGGTTTTAAAACTGTGTGGTAGACTGGGCAGCATCTGGGGCTACATCGGAGGGTGGATTCTATGCTGACAGCTGACTGCCTGCTATTTACCTAGACTATTAAAAATATATAAAATGAAAAGACCAGGGGCTGGGTGCAGTGGCTCACTCCTGTAATTCTAGCACTTTGAGAGGCCAAGGTGGGAGGATTGCTTGAGACCAGCAGTTCAAGATCAGCCTGAGCAAGAACAAGACCCAGTCTCTACAAAAAAATTTTAAAAATTAGCGGGGCAGGTGGTACACGCCTATAGTCCCAGCTTTTTGGGAGGCTGAAGCAGGAAGATTGAGCTCAGGAGTTGAGTTGCAGTGAACTATAATGAGGTCACTCCACTCCAGCCTGGACATCACAGTGAGACCCTGTCTCAAAAAGTAAATAAATTTAAAAAGTTAAAAAAGAAGTAAAAAGATTCATCTTCATTCATCAATTTATGTAAAAACCTTATAGTGACATACATCCAATGAAATTAATATACTCATTTTTAATAGGAATATTTTCTAAAGTCCTTGGACTTATTACCTTCTAGGTGTCAAATATCTTCATTAAACTTGATAGTTATTATATAACTTGAGATTTGATTTAAATAAAAATGATAATTTTTGATAGGAAATAAAAAAGGATGTGAGATACAGCAATGCTATTAGAAAAATTGTCAAACAACCATTTTTCTGAGAATCTGATTTTTCAGATTCTCAGAATTATTCTCATTGCTTTGAAAAATATTACAGTAATAATTATAACTGGACCTGATCAGAAATGATTTTCTTCTAGGGTTCCTTTGTTAAAAGCAAGTTGTATTTTTCAGATTCATCCAAATAACAGAGTGATCCAGAGGTGATATTGGGATTAAACCCTTTTGTTGTCAGGGCTCCCTTCAAGCACTTGGAAGTTGATATCATCTTCATAAATCCATAAAAGTTCCAGTTAATAAAATTTAAAAATTCTACATTTCTTTCAATATTGCTTTTCTAACCTAGTCAAGATTTTGTTAGCCCCTGTTCTTATCAAACCGAGAACTGCAGAAGTTAGGTTTTCTGACATCGAATAAATAGACCCCTAGCCTGCCTGCCAATGCGAGGTCCAAGGCTGAGGAAAATCACTTTAGGAGGCAGTTGGGGCTGAGTTATTGGACACTCTTTAGAAGACAGGAGATTAAGTGTGATGTGAAAGCATCCTGGGACCCATCTCGGCCTCTTGAAACCCCTGATGGACCAGCTGAGCCGTGGGGCGAGACCCCGACAGGCGAGCCGGGCTGCGCGCCAAGCGAGGCGCCGGCGGGAACACGGCGCCGTGGGGCGGGGACAGACAGGCTCGCGGGCGCTCTGTGCCGGGTTGCTGGCCCTGAGGGTGTGGAGAGCAGGGTGGCTCTGGGCTTCCAGGCATTCAGCACGCACATTCACAGCTCTGGGCCACCTCACTTCCCTGGAGAGGTTAACCAGTTTGAGAATTCTGCTTATCCTAAAGTGCACAGAAACGTTTCCTACACTCAGACGTATATGGTAGTTGAAATACAGCACATTTTATATTTTGTGGCTTCAGGGTTAATGAAAATGTCTACAGTTCCTTTTCCAACTATTTGCTGCTCTAAAATTAGACCTTCTTTTAAACACGAGGTTTTATATTTTAGTAAAAGGGCGTCTCCACTGCACTCCAGGCGACAACGGGCCCCACCTGGGTGCCACAGGCACAGTCTTCAGTGAACATCCGTGTGCATGTTCCTGATATGCCTCTAAGAGAAATTTGGAGGGGGTTGGCTAAGGCCAACTGTATACCTCAGAAAACTTAAGAGAGTCTGGAAGTTGCTGTGAATCTCTTCAGTGATGGGGCAGGCGATACTTTTCCCTAGGCATTGAGGTGAAAAGCAAGATCAGAACTTACCAACTTTCCTCCAAACTACCCTTTCTCTTCAGCCCCCAGCTGCTGCTGATGTCCCACTCACTCCTCACACCAACTCCAGACGGACTTCTGTCTCCCCAGGCAAACTCTTGATTCTGTCATTTCTCTAGGCTTTATTCAGAAGAAGAGAGTTAGGACCCATTTATCAAAACAAAGAAGGTTCTTTGGAAGTGGTTCCCCTTTCTTTACCATGGCTCGATTTAGGAGCAACTCAAGCTCAATACATTTTCTTTTAGCCCAGTGTTACTCAAATGTTCGCTCCTTGGAAAAACATTATAAAGGAGAGAAACAAGGGTGCTCTTTGTTTAAGCTCTTCACAAAAGCACACATGCATTCCCAGTAAAGCTGTAAGTCAGGTGTTTAGGATTTAAACTGAGAGGGAAAAAAAGAAACCAATATCAGCAAAAGCCACAGAGAGAACTATAGTCTTCTAGGTAATGAAAAACAAAGATTAAGAGGCAAATCTTATCAGCTAGTGGAGAAAATTGTGCCTAAGGACAGAAAGATAAAGAACAAAGAGGATAGTTTCTTTGAAAAACTCTTGGGAGGAAACTCCTACCTTGCTAGTGCCTGTAAATTCTTACCTCATCCAGCTCTTGAGATGGTAAAGACCTCTTACCATTGCCACCTGCCCTTTGGCACCTAAGGTGAACAGATGATAATTATTATTGTTGCTTGGCAATTAATATGGTTTGAAACTCATTTAAAAATTATTAACTGAATGAAATACTTCTTTAAATTTTGTGTATTAGGCATTTCATAGTTTATCACTTCTACAACTAGATAAACTAAAAATATTATTCTGACAATTAGTATTAAGTGCATCTGTACTTATGGTGGTGTTAAATCTCATATAGTATTACCCAAGCAAAAATGTTGCCATTGAGTCAATGCACTGAAGTTTTAAGAAAAACGTGCTCATACTTTTGCAAAATTTATTATCAGAGTAGCAAATACAGAAAGTTGGCATTGAATACCTTCTGTGAAGTTACAAACATAAAGAAACAACTTCGAATTCCTCATCTGAAGGAATTCTAATTCCTAGCCACTCTACTACTTTCTCCTTTGGAGGTCTTTAAATTTGCATCCCTCTGGTAAATTTATGTGGGTTTAAAGAAATAATCAAATTCTGAAACTGAGGCTACATCTTATCTTTTAGTCTCACTCTATACAATTGGTCTCTGTGGACACATTTATCTCGCCAGATGACCTCAGAAACTTCCAAGGTTGGGCTACATTCCCTTCCCATTTAAATTGAATATGTAGTGCACAGAAAATAAGTTCCTTTTTTTTCCAAAAGATGCAAGCTTTTCTTTCAAACAAGTTAATTTTGTTTGCATATACTTACATACTACATATTAAAGTTTTTAAATTATTAATTTCCAGGAAGTAAAAACAAATATAACCTTAACCAAACTTTCTTTTAGCCTGGTATTATTCAAATGTCCTCATTTCTGTCCTTGGGAAAGATATCATAAAGAGGAGAAACAAAAGTGCTTTTTATTTAAGTGCTTAAAAAATACACACAGGTATTTTCAATAAAGGTGTGTGATTCAGGTGTTTAAGATTTAAACTGAGGGGATGAGGTGGAGAAGAAACCAATATTAACAAAATCCAGGAAGAGAACCAGGTTCTTCTGGATACTGAAAAGCAAAGATTAAAAGGCAAATCTTATCAGCCAGTAGAGAAAATTATGTTTTAGAACAGAAAGATAAAGAGAAAATAAGATAGCTTCCACTTCAAAAGTACCCTGGAAGTCCTTACAACATTTGAATTCCAGTTCGAAAACATAAAAATACATAACCAAGTTGGCTATTTTCTTTGCTTCTTTTTAAAAAATACATCTTATTCAAACTATTAAGAGTCTGTACCAATTCATTATAAGAATAATGTCTATTATGGGTGGTTACTAATGAGAATTCCTGATTGCAACTTATCTCAAAGGAAAGATACTAAAGTACAAAAGGACTTCATTATATAATGATTACAATAAAAAGGCAACCATTTGGCTGAGATCTCAGATCTCTGGTACATGGAAAGATTATGGTTTAATCTCAGCTTTAGGCATAATATATCAATAACATTTTCAAAGAGAACATGAAGCCATTATTTCTTTAAGGTATTTCTGAGCATTTCTTCAGTGACTATACTTTTGGAGAAATATATTTCTGAATGTATTCCCCACTTGGTTCCTGAAGTACATAAACCCATGTTGGACCATCAAGAACAAGGCCCCCGAATTCTAACATTGATATCCTCTCACAAAATCAGGATGCTATGGGGCTGTTAAGAAGGCTTCACTCCCCACACACTCTCGGGAAAGTTCTTTCTGTGCCTTGACCAGTCTTCACGTCGCCTTTTCCTCTCTGGGTCTCTTATAAAGACACTTGTCCTTGGATTTGGAGTCCTCCCAAATAATCCAGGATGATCTCCTCATCTCAAAATTCTTAAATTAATTATGTTGCAAATCTTTTTTCCCCCCAAATAAGGTAACATTCACAGGTTCAAGGTTACTATATTTTTTAGCTTTCTGTGACTTCGTCGTTGCCATGGTGATACTATACTAATATTTATTTCACCACAGGTGAGCAACAATGGTGTGCTGGGAAGATCTAATTTGGCCTTGATATGCCATACAACATCATCTAGAATTGGTTTATTCTTTTTGACACTGAATATCAAGAAGTTAGATAGACAATAGTCTATCTATTACTAACTGAAGCAAAAACACATTTGTGAAGATCATAGTTATTTTGGAAAATACTGAAGGAAGCCTGGTTTAAACTGGCAGGTCTCTCCAGGCAGGGCTCAGGCAGCCTGTCCGCTGGACAGCGCTGTGACATGGCCCTCGGAGGAGACACTGCGGCACACGGCCTCAGTGGCCTTTGTGTAGATAAAGGCAAATGCATTTCCCTCTGGAGATCTAGAAACATCAAGTGCTTTAATTAGACCAGAATGTTTGAGAAATTTCCTCTAAATCTTAAGCTTTCTTTTTGACCACTACATGCATTTTATGAAATGACCATACATTTTACATTTTTTTCAACAGCATAACGCAGAGATAACATCAATAATTCCAATACCTACGTTGTTAATGAATCACTTTTTCCTCAAACAGTATGTAAACAAAGGGTAATTATGGGATAATCTTGCTGGTGTATTCTTTTTTTTTATTATTATTACTTCATATTATGTAGGTACAAATATTGTTAGGGTTACATATCTTGCTCCTGCCCCCCCCACCCCGCTATTCCAGAGCTTCTAGCATGTCCCACCTCTTAAGCTTTTCCAACTCCAGACCTACTTGGTGCTCACTCTGTCCTTCTGAAAATGTTATGTTTGAGAGGACACTAGTGAGTTCCAAATACTAGAAGTTCAGTTTGTGTTGAAGACTTCATAAAAACTGCAAAATGTACTTCCATTTTCATCACTGGCTTATAGAAGAAATGAGCCTCACAGTATTACACAGACTTTTTTTTACTTGCTTCCAGAATCTTATGATAAGATTTACAATGATTCTATTGAAGAAAAAAAGTACAAATCTTTCTCAGGATGAATTTTTACTTACACTGTATGTAGCTATGATAAATATAATTCTTTATTTCTTGTTAGTTACTTTCCTGCGGAGAGCTCTGTCCCTGGGAGATAACAGAAGACAATTTAAGGATTGTCTCAGAACACTGTGGTTCTGTGTGTCCTCACGTTACTCTCAGACTTTGAAACAACAATCTGAGGGGTGAGGGCAAATGGTCTCAAGGTAAGAAGTGCCATTCATTCTTCAATGTTCCCCAGCCAGCACTGGGAGATCGACCAAACTCACTCTTCCACAATTAGCAAGGAGGCACGTGTGAAGCTGTTATAGTGACACTCATTGCATTTATTTTGTAAAAGCTTTTATTTGTAACAATTGTACAAACATCTAGTTGACCAGTAAAAGTGGGAATACAGCATAATACTATTTTTATGGCCCACCATTTTAACAAAATGCCAGTTTTATAGTGATGGAATTCGGTGTCCCTCAGTTCCAAATGTGCTTGGCATGAGCTGGGAAGAGCCCTTCTCTCTCAGTGCCTCTGGAAATTCCATCTGTGTTGTTTCTCTAGGTTGGTTTTCTGCCTTGAGCTTCCTTTTTAACAAAGCACTAGAAACATTCTCATATCTAACTTGTTCTTTTGCTTTTACCTTTTCCCCTGCTTGTAATGGTATTTATTTTCCCATAAGTAGTCAGATTTTGGTTCATGGTGTAAATAAAAATATTTGTGATTTATTTTTTTAAAAAATGTCAGTTTCTATATTTTTACATATAAAAATTATTGTGAGTAATGACATTGAATGTATGGCACCAAGATAAGTGATTTCTGCAAATGTGCTATTATGTATAATTAGAAATTTTTTGGATATGTAGAACTAGGCATTAGTGAGAAAGAAGGACCATTATACAACTGGAAGAAATCATAATATCCACATAAATCAGAAGGTACTAAATGTCATTCATTACACGTATTGGAAATACCTTTGTTCACAGGAGAAAGTTTATGTTGTTATTTAACATCTGTAAATTTCTAGCCAGTAATTAAATACAAATAGAAGTTTTCTCCTAAATGTTGGGTTAAATATCTACTTGTCTTATAGCAAAACCAAGGTTATAACACGTAGTAAATTGAAAGATACTCTTCACATAGTGATAGCAGAGAGGGCTTAAGGATAATAATATTAATAATTATATAATAATATAATATATTACAATATTCATAATATAATAGAAATATACATTATTAATTAAATATTTATTAATCACATTTATTTGATAATAAATAATTTTAAATTTTAAATAACAAATATTTGTTTAATAATTATATTATATTTATTAATTAATAATTATATTATTTATTACTATATTAATTCTTAAATATTATTAATCACTGTATTAATTATTAAAATAATATAATAATTGACATGTTCAATTATTTTTATGGTAACCATTTTATTTTATATAACTCAATTCTCTAGGCTTTTTTTAATTTTAAATTTTCCTTTCTCTTGTTCATAATAATTGTGCACATTAATGCATTAGGTGATCATGTGAAATACATCTTCTGTGGTATCACAGATCAGCTGAAGGCCTCCAATGACAGTCTTCTTCCTAAATCAATGTTAAAATGTTGAAGCCAAGGAATCACTTTGAATTCAGGTTAGTTGAAAAGTGTTCAAGTAAAGATTAGAAAACTGATACATGTTCTTACCTTTATAATTTTAGATAATAATTTACCTTTAATATTTAGTTGATAGAATGCTTGATTTTATTTGTGCTATGTTTCAAACATCATACATGTTTAGATTCTTAATGAATTTGAACCTTATGCTAACAGCTTATTCTGACCATCATATAATCTCGTAGTTTACTCAGACTCTATTTTTGTACCAAACTACAATCAAAAACTGTTTATAATTTGTCTCAGCTCCACATCTCCTCCATCCTGAACTTACTCGTTTCAAGAGACAGAACTCTAAAATTTTATTCTTTGTCTCTATCATCTTTTAAGAAAAAAAGAAAGAAATCCATTTCTGAGATAACCTAGGTTATGCTTAAAAGTAAATAAATATGTCACCCTCATTAACCACACAAATCATTCACTAGCAACTTTTACTGCATGGTCCATAGAGCAGATATATTTCCATTTTTATGGACATTTAAAGTATGATAAAACCATATACAACATCTGGGACTTGTGGGAGAAAAATTCTGTGAGATCCATGCTACGTAGAGCATTATCCTGTGTGAATCTATAACTTGTTAGTTAGAGATGAAATGAAAACTTACCCAAGGTGTTGAATCATCTTCTGCAGTTGTTCCTCAGTATACAATGGGGATTGGTGTTAGGACCCTCCTGCCCCACATATCAAAGTCTGCATAGACTCAAGTTCTGCAGCCACCCTGGGGAACCTGCCTACAGGAAAAATTGGTTCCTTCATATAGGTGGGTTTCACATCCCACAAATACTGTATTTTTGATCCACATTTGGTTGAAAAAAATCTGCAAGTAAGTGTACCTGTGCTTTTCAAACTTCTGTTGTCCAAGGGTTAATTGCATTACAGATAATTTCTTTAAATGCGTAAAAATTCTAAAGCATATGCTAATTTAGTATAGTTTGATCTAAAAACAGAGAATTTAATGAATCATTCAAGTTCATTTAGCAGAGAAAATTGAAGAAGAAGTATTAATTCTAGATTCATATCTAGATCCTGTAATCCTGTTGTTTACAAGCTGCTGTAAATGCTAGATTATAGCATTCATAAACATTGAAGTGATGAAATGTTATTGGAAACTCCCAGAAAAAAAATTCCTTTGGTAAGAATCCCTAAACTACTGATTATAAAACCAATCAATCATTTATATAACTAAATGTCTATTGACTATCTATAGTAAGAATTAAAATCCATTGGTCAGGTTAAAAAAAATTCTAATCTAAATAGAAGTTGAGGGTAAGTTGGTTATATATGAATATATGCAAATATATATTTGTGATATATCATGTTTAATATATAAAAGAACCCTGCTTAAAATATCTTTTTAATCCCATACAGTACTTAGCACAGTGTACTATATATATCAGACAACTAATAAATTTTATTAAAATGCAAAAAAAATCCTTCATATTTTTATGCATTCTCTTAGAATGATCACTTAAAATGACAAATTTACAATGGCAATGACTTAGAGAGTAAGGGCCATCTCCCCTGCCTCATTAGATTATAATTAAATCCCCATGTTTATCTTCAATGCTCTAAGTCACACACTGTGACACAACATGTAAATCATTAGTCATATAATGTGCCATAAACCAGCAGAGAGTCAGTGGAATATAACAGAACAAGCATGGGCTTAGGGAGTCAGTCTGGAAGTGGGTCCATATACAGGCTTGGTAACTTTCTAGTTCTATAAATTTGGGTAAATTATTTCAATTACTTTGAAGAATAAAAATACCTAACTTGCATAAGGGATAGCTGAGGTTGTATATATAGTTATTAAGTAAGAAATATCCAATTTCCTTAAGTACTGAATTTGACAGTTGATATCTCTGACATTTTACTTTGACACTTCTTGTTTTATTTTTATCGTGAAGTTACTTCCTCAGTCTTTCAAATGCACAGTTTGGCTTGTGATTAGTTTTCAAATTTTTTAGAGCAATTTTGTGAAACTATGGATAAGTCAAAAATTTGTGTTATTTTCAAATGTGAGTTTTGTCATGGAACCAATGCTGTGCAGACAGCTTGAAATTTCAACGAAGTGTTTGGGAAGGATATAGCTAATGAACGCACAATATGTCAATGGTTTGAGAAGTTCTGGTGATTTTAATCTTGAAAATGAGCCACAGGGGCGACCTGAGACCAAGGTGGATAACAATGAGCTTGAAGCTGCAGTGGAAGCGAATCCATCTCAGTCTACGTGTGAACTAGCAGCAAGGTTTGACATTATTATTCCAACAATATTGAACCATTTGAAACAAATGGCAAGGTAAAGAAGCCGTACAGATGGGTTCCTAATGAATTAAACGTGTCAGAAGAGATATTATCTCCAAGCTTGCCTCTGTTTGCTGTCGTGGTATAAAGGTGAACCATTTCTACACTATATTGTTACCTGTGATGAAAAATGGATTCTTTTTGACAATCACAAGCATTTAGCACAATGGTGAGATAAAGATGAAGTACCCAAACACAGTTCAAAACCGAATATTAATAAATAAAAAAAAAAAAAGCTAATGGTATCTGTTTGGTGGTCCAGTACTAGTTTTATCCATTACAGCTTCAAGAAACCTGGTCAATGATTACAGCAAATGTCCACTGCAGCTAATTGGAGAAAATGATGAGGATGCTTGCAATTAAGCAGCCAAGATTGGTCAACACAGACAGGGGAATCCTCTTGCAAGACAACGCTCAACCACGTCGCACAAACGACACTGCTCAAACTGCGGAAGCTGGACTTGGAAACACTCTATCATCCACTGTATTCACCAGACCTTGCACAAACTGACTCCCACTTCCTTCCAAGCTTTGGACCCCTTCTTGTAAGTAAAAATATTCAATTCTTAACAAGCTGAGGAAAATGCCTTTTGCAATTCATTACCACTTGCTCTCCAGGCTTCTACGCTGCTGGCATAAACAAGCTGCTGTTAAGATGGCAAAACTGTGTCAATAGTTTAGACACATACTTTAATTAATTGTACTGCTTCTGGTTTGAGATATAATAAACTAAACTTTTGATTCAAACTCAGACAGTTCATATTTAATGACTGTGTGTGTGTGTGTGTGTGTGTGTGTGTGTGTAGTTGAAAGAGAAAATGACTGAATGTCAAGCCCTAGCATGCTGCCTAGGAGTACATAGATAATAACTTTCATCAGAAGCAGGAGAAGACAGAAAATTTGGGTAGAGCAGTTTCTTTTCTCTGCATGAGACTCTCAACTTGGGCACTATTAACATTTTGAGCTGGATAATTCTTGGTTGTGGGACATTGTCCTGTGCATTATAGCATGTTTAATGACATGCCTGGCCTCTACTCACTAGATGCTAGTAGTACACCTCCCTCTCAACTCCTCCCAGCCCTCCCCACTCCCCCACCTAGCACCTTAGTTGTGACAATCAAGAATTCAGGCAAAGATTGCCAAACATGCACTGGGGAAACTGTTCCTAACTGAGAACCACTGGTCTGCCTGAAGAGCAGAAACCACTGTCCAGTAATCTGGGATCAGCCCCGAGGCCCTGTCCTTCAAGTTCACCCTTGGTTAGTCACACAGTTAATGGCAGAACTCCTCCAGTGTCTAGGAATGCAGTCACTGTACATTTTGGATAGTCATTCCAGATCTTACTGGAGGAAAATTTCCTCATCATGCAAGCTGTTTCTAAATTAGAATAAAATATCAGGAACACAGAGAAATGAAGTCAGATATGTCATTTAATTACTTAGTGCTCAGTAAATTCCATGTGAATTTGCAAAGAAAATACTATTTTGGGCAAATAATTCATATATAATAATTACCCTTGTTTGATGTAAATGTCCAAGACATTTGTTCAATTTTTAAAATTCAAGGATACTCAGAAGGAAGTAAAATAGGTCTTCAGCACAGCAACATACTCTGCCTTGTGCATTAACAATTCTATTTTCTTATGTGAGCTTTAATACATGCTGTGTGGAAGGATTAAAAAAACCTGTTTTTATATAATATAATTGCTTTCACAGATAAATTATTACTTTTATTATCTTTTTTTTAAGTAAATAAAACTTAAAGTTGACCATAAACAGACTGTTAACAGTTTTAAGGAATATAATCCATCAAGCCTGTTGTAGTAAACTATGAAATGAAGACAATTTTTCAAATATGCTATTTATAATTTAGTATGTATCAAATGTATACATTGGAACAGATTATATTTATAACTTTTTTATCTTAATGAGAATGGAAAAATGATTTAAAAGTAGGGGGAAGAAAAAATTGTGATGTGATTATGAGGAAGGTCAAAATATTCTCATCTATGTAAGCAACGTGTAAACTAGCTCAGTATTGTAGGGGCTGAGGTTGGCCCCTGGAGTTTTGCCGAAAATCAGTGACATGAGGCAGATTGATTAATAAAAAAAGGCATACATATTTATTTAATATGTATACACCTTCAGAATGAAGACCCAAGAATACAGGGAAAACTGTCTATTTTCATGTTCAGGTAAAACAAAATATGGACAACCATATAGAAATGTGATGATACCCAGACAGTAGGTCTAATGCTCATAGCCCAAGTGGAGAAACCCAGCAAGTCCTGGCCGTCTAGATTCTTTTTGGCCTCTCTGAGCTTGCATTCCTTCCTTCTGGGTGTGGGCAGAGCCCTCTCCAAAATGGGGGTCTTCTGGCCTGCAGTCAAACAAGGTAGGTCAGATAATTTTTTTATGGCTCTGTTTTTACAAAGAATATTTTTAGGTTTTATGGCTAGCTTTAGGGAAAAAGGGTTCTGGTTTCTATGACCTGCCTTGAGGAAAAGGGCTTCTAGTTTTTATGGCCTACCTTGGGAGAGAGGAATTCTAGTTTCTATAGCCAGCCTTGGGGAAGAAGGGGAGTGTGAGGCAGGAGGACAGGAGAAGGCCAGAGAATAACTTTTTGCTTCTGAGGTGCTTCATTTTGGGGTGCTGTTTTTTGAAGCCCCACAATACAGTGCCTGGATTATTTATCTCCTTATTTATGCTCAGCTTTGACTCCAAATAAGTTAACCACCATAAACTATTGCAAGATTATTCAAATGCTCAAAATAAAATTATAAAGAAAAAATAAAATACAATCTTAGGCACATATAATTGTTAGTTAAAATCTAGTTTAAAATACATTTATAAAATTTAATATGTTTGCTACAGCTGTTTAAGAAATTTAGCCAAGAAATGAGCAGAACATAAGTAAAATTAAGAAAACAATTCTATTTATAATAGTATCAAAAAGAATAAAATTCTTACAAATAAATTTAAAAGGAAATATAAAACTTAAACTCTAAAATCTACAAAATATGGTTGAGAAAAACTTTAAAAGACCTAAATAAATGGAAAGACATTTCATGTTGATGGATTAGAAGATAATATTGTCAAGATGCCAATACTCCCCAAATTGATATACAGATTCTGTGCAATCCTCACCAAATTCCTGGATGACTTCTTTGCAGAAATTGACAATGTGATCCTAAGATTAATTTGGAAATTCAAAGGACCCAGAATAGCCAAACCAATCTTGAAAAACAACAAAGTTGGTTGATTTACATTTCTCAATCTTAAAACTTACCTCAAAGCTACAGTAATCAAAATAGTGTGGTATTGGCCTAAGAATAGATGATATATAGATCGATGGAATAGAATTAGAGTTCAGAAATAGACTCTTGGATTTACAATAAATTAATTTTCAACAAAGGTGCCAAGACTATTCAATGGGTAAAAAATAGCATTTTCAATAAATGGTGCTGGGTCAGCTAGGTATCCACATACAAACAACAAGGTTGGAGACCTAGCTCACAACATACACAAAAATTTCACTCAAAATTGATCAGGGACCTAAATGTAAGAGCTAAAACTATTAAACTCTTATAAGAGTTTATAAAAAAATTCTTCTAAAATGCCTAAAACAAAACATAGGTGTAAATCTTTATAATCTTGGAATATGGCAATGGTTTCTTAGATATGACACCAAACACACAAAAAACAAACAAAAAAATAGATATAATCAAAATCTAACCATTTCATGCTTCACATTACTTCAAGAAAGTGAAAAGAACACCCATAGAATAGGAGAAAATTTTTGTGAACCAAATGTCTGATAAGGGACTTGAAACTAGAATATAAAATGAAAAAATGCAACTCAATAATAAAAAGATGTAGATCCACGATGAGATACCCCTTCCAAACTCCTAGGATAACTATAATCAAAGAGACAGGTAATAACAATTGTTGGTAAGGTTGTGGAGAAATTGGATGGAACCCTCATAAACTGATAGTGAGAATGTAAAATTGAAAAACAAAAACTTTGGAAAAGCTTAACATTTCCTTGAAATGTTAAACATAGAGCAATTCCACTTCTAGGTAGATACCCAAGAGAAATAAAAACGTATGTCCACACAAAAACTTGTTCATGATTGTTAATAGCTGCAGCATCTATAATAGCCAAAAAGTAGAAACAATTCAAATGTCCATAAACTGATAAAATATGGTATATCAATATAATGGCATGTTACTCTGTAATAAAAAAGAAATAAAGTACTTATACATTTTGCAACAAGGTGAATCTTGAAAACATGCTTAGTGAAAGAAGCCAGAGACAAAGGATCACATACTCTACGGGTCCATTGGTATGAAAAGCCGTTCTGTTTTGTCTGGTGATGGTGAGACAGCTGTGGTCAAAACAATACTGTCTCAGGAGAGACTTCCTTAACTACCTATCCAAAGAAGTTTCCTAATCCTTTTCTGAACATTGCCCAATTCTAATCTTCTGCATAAAACCAATCAAAATCTGATATTTTCTTAATTTATTTATACTTTATTGCCCTAACACTGAGAAATAATTTATGCAAGCAAAGACCTAGTCTTGTTATTCATAGATGTATCTCTAAGACCAAGAATGGTGCCAGGCATAGAGTTGGCCACTTAATAAATATTTGTCATTTATTAGACATTCACCATAAAGTTATGGGAGAATCAAAGAAAAATATATTAAACAACAATGACTGTTTCTTCATACTGGTGCTTCGTTCTTTTAAAAAAAAAACTTGTGTATTCATTTGTTTAAATTGACAAATAAAAATTATATTTATTTATGGTTTATAACATGATGTTTTGAAATATATACAATGTGGAATGCTTAAGTTGAGATAATTAGCAAACACATTATCTCATATACTTATTCCTTTGTGATGAGAATATTTAAAATCTACTCTTAGAGATTTCCAAGTATATAGTACGTTATTATTAACCATAGTCAGCATGCTGTACAATAGGTACTGATATTTTGAACGCCCTATTACACAATGCCTTGTGGAAACCTTACAGCAGCCCTCAGAGGTCAGCAGCATCATTTTCTATTTCTAGAGAGGTTAACAGTTTGCTTGAGATCACACAGTCTGTACCAGAGCCATTTCCAGTTGACATTTTCTCCCTACAAATGTCATGCCTTTAATGATTTCACTGTTCCATAGCCAGCTCTCAAACAAGCACTATTAGGATTTAGTGGTGTCTGGTAATGCTTCAAGAGGAGAGATATTTTTTTATTAAGATTTTTGTGTTTATTGAATTTACTTATCCCTTTTTATAAAGATGTAATTGGTCCCAGAATATCTACTCGTGGGCAAAAACTTGATTTAAACAATCATTAATCTCCATTATGATTAATATAATAGAATGAAAAGGTAAACTTCAGCATGTGTAATTATATACTACAAATTTGTAAACTTGTACTGTCAATAGATATTATTTCTCCAGTTAAATGTAGTAATTCCTAAAGCTTTACTAACAGTTATAACAACAGCATTCACTATTTTCTAAGTTGTTTGGGGACCCCTCAGATTAGCCTAGAGGGATATTTTTAACTGGGTTTTGAATGAGAAGACAGATCTTGTGCAGGTAACTGGGTGGCATGCTGCCCAAAAGCGTGGGCGAGGAGAGCACAGAGTGTTTGGAAAGCAGTGAGCGGTTCACTTTGACAGGAGTCCAGGATGAGCTATATACTGAGAAGAGGTTTGGAGAATGAGGTGAATATTATGATTAATTTTTTTTTTTTTTTTGCAGAAATGGCTTGGCCAGACCTTCAGAGTGTTTATTTATTTACTTCTCTCCTTACACTCTAGCTAACTAAAGTTCTTCCTTATTCCTAGACAATATTTTAGATATCTCTTTGGGATGCATTCATTTATTCCACTATAGTTCTAATTTTTTCTTTCTGAGATTAGGAAATGTAAATGCACTTAATATAAAGTGGTGAGACTTTAACATGTTCTTAAAAGGTCCATAACTTATAAATAAATCATTAGGCTCCTGTGGCTATTAGAAATGGATAGCTGAGTAAAGAGAAAAAATTTAGGCTAAATAACAGTCTGTTAATAGACTTTCCACTTAATATTTCAAGAGATGATATTATGGCCATGTTGACAGAGCGAGGAGAATTGGAATAACTGCCTCAGGGTTTAAGCCAAGACAAAAAGGAAAGGAAAAGTCTACGATTTATAATGTATTTGAGAGCTGAACCAAATTCTCTTACTGAGTTGGAAAAATGTCACGTTTTTGTTGTTGACAACAACCTGATCAATGTAATTTATGTAATCAGTAATTTATGGTTTGGTTTTTCCATATTGAATGAAAGATACTGCTGACTACCTCTATTGTAATCTATTATGGAAAGCTATGCCATGGGCAAAGGACATGGACAGAAACTTTTCAAAAGAAGACAGAATGATGGCTAACAAACATATAAAAAAAGTGCTCAACATCTAAAATTGTCAGGGAAATGCAAATCAAAACCACAATGATATATCATCTAACTCCAGTGAAAATGGCTTTTATCAAAAAGTCCCCAAAACAACAAATGCTGGCGTGGATTGTAGAGAGATATAAACACTCTTACACTGCTGGTAGGACTGCAAATTAGTACAACCTTTGTGAAAAGTAATTTGGAGATATCTCAAAGATCTAAAAAGAGAAATACCCTTTTATCCAGCAATCCTACTACTAGGCATCTACCCATAGGAAAAAAACCTCTTTATTAAAAAGACCCCTACTCAAATGTTTATAGCAGCACATTCACAATTGCAAAGATGTGGAAACAACCCAAGTGCCCATCAATACATGAGTGGTTTAATAAAATATGGTACATGAGTACCATAGGATTCTATTCAGCTATAAGAAACAATGGTGATATAGCACCTCTTGTGTTTTCCTGGTTGGAGCTGGAGCCCATTCTACTAAGTGAAGTATCTCAAGAATGGAAAAGCCAGCACCACATGTACTCAGCAGCAAATTGGTATTAATGGATCAACACCTAAGTGGACATATAGGAGTAACATTTATCGGTTGTTGGGAGGGTGGTAGGGGGGAGGGGGGATGGATATATACAACGAGGCTATCAATTCAAGATGGCTTGTTGAGCGTCAGTTGTATGTTAAGCTCTGTATTCAATTTGAGGACAAAGAGGTAAATAAATCACATCCCTTGCCTTCAAGAAGTTCACAGTATAGTCCTCTGTGGAAAGCAACATATATCTGCATTTTGGGTGATGATTTTCTCGTAGCTGCATATCCTGTGGACCACATCAAACTAGTCTAAGTTAACGAACAATATTTAATCAGCATATAAACTATACAATTCAGTGCATCCTCTCATGTCAGGAAGAAGTAT